ATGGACCATGGACATACTTATGGGACTGTCGCGTTGAATACATGGGGTGGGGGAGTTCAAATGTGATATTAGTGTTCCGTGCTGGTGCTATTGCCTATTTTTAGTGCTGAGGGGCTTCTAACACCAGTTTTATTGCTAACACCAACACCAACACTAGCAAGAAACCAAGAATGTGACAACATCCCGTAACTAAGCTGTATGCCTGTGCCTTTTTCATTTATCGTCTTTTTCTAAGTTATGCGGCTTTTGTATATGTGTTTACTTTGGCGCTGGATCAGCGAGGGAGTATACCTGTATTAATCTCGCTTTTAGGCCTTCGTGGCGTGGGTGCTGGCTGTAACTAGGCCCACGTTAACGTTAATCCGATATTGCCTCTTATTGTCTTAGAAAAAAAAAGTCAACCCCGATCACTGAAATTAGCGAGAGCTGAAAGAAGCCACACCCAGGACGCAGCATCACGGACCAGTTCTTAACTCTTCACCAGATTCTTGAGAGAAATTGGAAATATGCCGAAGAGGTTTGCAAGTGTTTTGTGGATCTCGAAAAGGCGTATGACCGTGTATTGTACTCCGAGGGAAGCTGTAGGGAATGCTGCAGGAGTATGGGATTAACGGGCAGCTACTGCGGGCCATACAATCCTTACACAATGACTGCAAAGGCGGCTTTCAAATGAACGAGATGAGTTCGGATTCATTCCCAGCACTCGTGGGGCTTCGTCAGAGTTGCGTTCTCTCTCCTTTCCTGTTCCTTGTGTACATGAATAGGATATGTTGGCGTGGCCTCGGCCTCAAGGGTGTCAGCATCAGTAGTATCGAAATAAAGGTACTTTTCTTTGTCGATGAGCTGTCCTTTTGCCCCAGTCTCGACAGAAGCTTCAGGGCGTGCTTGATCGGTTCGACTCGGAATGTACTGCGGGCGGAATGAAATTGAGCTTCCCCGAAACACAGGTTATGGTTCTCTCGGGGAATCCCGTACAGTGCACCCCCCCCCCCCCCCCCCCCCCCCCCCCCCCCAGGGGAATCCCGTACAGGGCCCCCCCCCCCCCCCCCCCCAACCCCCCCGGAACAGGTGGAGAAGTAAACGTACATCGTGGTCTGCTTCTCGAGTGACGGGCGATGCGGAAATGAGATCGACAGCTGCATCTCTAAGGCTTCCGAAGTTTTGCCGGAACTCTGGCAAGCTGTGGTTATAACACTTCCAAGGAGGCAAAACTTTTTTCATTTTAAAGAGCGTTTACCTCCCCACCCTCCCCACCCTCCCTTCCCCCTCCCTCACCTATGATCACGCACTTAAGATAATGACCAAAGGAATTAGATCGAGGATACAAGCCCCCGAAATGAAGTTTTTACACAGGGTGGCCGAATGCGGAGTGCCGCCATCCTTGAGAATCGCCAGGTCGAGCAGCTACGCATGCAGAGATCCCAAGCCTGTTGGTTCCCACACGCCTCCCTCTTGCCTCCCGAGAGACTCTCAAAGAAAGCCTTCCAATCTGAAATGACCGACTAAAGTCAGTAGGCCTCGTGCAAGGTGGATGGACTACGACGCGAAAAGCAGGAGAGACTCGATACATCACCCTGCGGAGCTTGAGTCGGTTGACTAGGATCACGAATACTAGAAGATGCTCCTGGGTCTGCCCAAACCGCGCCTCCATTTTGCTGGAAAATGTATGAACAGTATGTATGCATGAAAGAAACCTAACGGAAAAGAACCATCCGACCATACACTTCGTATTAAAAACTTGAAACTTTAGTTAGTTAACAATTGACCTACGGTCATGTAAGGTCGTTCATTCTGCATCCAATGTTATCTACTTTCACTTTTTTTAGGGGATGGAAAGGATTGTGATTGACTCCCTACCTTTCCCCACTGAACCATCGAAAGGGCGCTTTCTCACGATATACTACGTACGTCCAGATTTAGCAATGACCGCTTTTTTCTTATTTCTCTTGTTAATGAACGTGGGAAATACAAATGTCCTTGAGTTTAGCACTTTGAGACACGCAATTTGATTGATTTCGAGGGTTAACGCGAATTAACGAAATGCAGCTGTAACTAGTTGTCATAAAGTTTAAGTTGCATACCTCCCTTTTATGCAGAGTTCAGGAAGTGAAGCGGTAGATGGCTCATGAAACTAGTGGTCGCAAGTCTCGATCACTCAGGCAAGAAGAGCTCAATAAAAGGTGGTTGGACGTTCTAACCACTCGGTGTGAAATGGTTAAATGAACGCCTTCACTCGGCGACGTTTTGCCCTATCCGTTATTTTTCTCCCCCAAAGTCACCAGTACTGTATTTTTTTAAAATATTGGTTACAATTCATCCTTGAATTATTCAAATATGCACCTTAAATCTACGGTCTCCTGTATCGATGCCACAAAACGAAACAAAATGAAAATTTCCCAGTGGCTTTATTTCAAGATTTTCGTACTATCGTCCCTGGTGGCTTTTCCCCCACTTTTCGCTATTTCGGAGGCTTTTTCCGAACCTCGCTTCTTGCACTTGGTCAAGCTTGAAGTCCATTGAGTTATACGGTTCAAGGTCAAAGGTCTAGTTCATACTCGTGTAGTGCAACATCTTGGATGCTGTGATTCCAAATTCATATTCGGCACATGCAGTTGGAGGTCTGGAATCCTGCTGTGCAGCAAAAAATATATATATTATAGCAGCTGGAGGCGATTTGCTATTCAGCAAAAGTTTGTACTGTCTAGCGTGCTGGATTGAATAGAAACAATTCCTACGTTCGAGATTGTAGTCTAACATGCTGAGAATAACACCAAATTTTTAGCATGGGGCACAACAGAACAGGCTAAGTCAAAGACGACGACGCATCAAGGATATTCCAATGGAGATGGATTAGTGGGATTATGGTTGGGAGGGGTGACTGATACGGTAAGTCAGAATAGATCTCCGAGATCGTTTGGGATAAAAAGTTTAAGCCTTTATACAAGCAAGAACTTTGAACTCGCCAGGTGTCACCCCCTAAGGATTAGTGCTAACACCTCTTGACGAAGCTGTGGAGCGGAGCCTGATAGGAGCAACACTTGATATGCCGAAGTAACTAAAATATAGCATAAATAACTGTCACTTTTCAGTGTCTTCGAAAATTGTCCTATTTTGTTGCATTTTTTTGTTCTCCCATAGGCCATTTTCAACATGCAAAAGCCGCCAGAGGAAGAGGAAGAAAGACGCAAGACACAAGCAAAACGAAGACGACAAAAACCCCAAATAAGAGGCCCAGAAAATGAAATCACGTCTGAACACAGCAACAGATTTGAAAGCTGCTTGGCAAAGATGCGAGCTAATCAAACCTTTGTGCAATTAACCAATCATATTTCAACCGATCATATTTTAATTTGACTCCCAACACTTGTGCGTTGTAGGCTTTTCACGCGTGGGAGTCGGATTCAAATTTAAAAAGTAGGTTCTCGCTCTAGTTGAAAAACATTGTAGTAGGAGGTATGAAGTGCTGGCAGGCACAGAACGAAAAGCGACCTCAGGCAGTCATCTCCGGGTCCCCTGCTGGTGTTATCGGAAGAGGAACAACACCCTATTATTTAGATTGGCAATTTGGAAAAGGTTGTCAATTGGGAGAACAAGAGAGGAGCTCCAATAGATGGTCTCGATGCGTGAAGGAAGAGTTCCCCTCTCTATAAGGTACGGGAGAAAGTGGTTCTGTAACTTCCACAGTCGACCCCCATTAGTCTCAATCCGTCTGTGTGAGATTTTAGGGGAAAAGAGATCTATGATAATATGAGTTCTAAAAAATTGCAAGAGGTTTATTTCTAGAATTTCTTCCTCTTGAAATTAGAATGGTTCCCCAGAAACACCTTTTGTCCATATTTTTTGTTCGAGAATTTCCAATGCAATTCAAAACAGGCTTTGGTCTCAAGGGTAGTCGGATGAAGATCATCGCAATAAATGGGAAAGCAGTTCTTGAAGCAAAGGAGACTATAGATATGCCAGTTTTTTGGTCGTCTGATTCTGAAATTTCCCTTTTTTCTGCATGCTTTTTTTCTTTGTCATCATTACTATTTAACAGTGTGGTCACTCCCAAACTGCCACAATTACCATTCGCTAACAGGGAAAATTTATTCGCTATCAGATTCAAGCCTGCAGGATTTCGAACCATGCTGCAACGAATACATGCAATAAGAGACTAGGATTGACAAAGCATTTCATATTTATCTTGGCATTACACCAACAAGAAACAGGAAAATGATGGCATACTAACGAGACAGGCTGAGTTCAAAATCGAAGTTAGGGGATCATGTGTAGCACATGATCTACAATCATGGATCATGTGTAGTGATGTTAGTGGATCATGTGTAGCACAAAGCATTAACACGGAACCGATACAACGTACTTGGACTCGCTCATTGTCGCTGATCTTTTTAGGGCTTTCGTGCTTTTGCAATTTTGCGGTGATACATCCACCATCTCTGTCTCGATGATTCTGTTGAATAAAGAAGACAAAAGCAAGAAAGACTCGGGCCGAAAACAAAACGTTGACTTAGTTTCTAATGCCTCGGTCGGCACAGCAAAAAATGTCAAAGCTAGTTTCAATTATCAATCACTAAAGTTATTTTCTCATTACTCAAAGCATTTCGTGACATCAGTTCCAAGTAATTTCGAATGACTCGAGGAATAACCTTTCAACAAAAGCTTTCTATTCAGGATAGGAATTTCTTGCAAGTTCGCGTGACAAAGCAGTTATCTCTCGAAATTTTCATTGCTGGATTGAGAACCTCCTGTTCTCTTCGTTTCTTTTTCTTCTGTCGCGTGTTACTGCCGTTTTGTGATCATACTTGCTAATTTTTTTGTCCCTGCCGATTCCGCTATGGCGTCATTATTTTGCGATCTCTATTCATTTCTTGTTAATATAATGATCTCCACTCTTGAGCAGGAAAGAAGGAAGAATCAGAGCAGACGAGAAGGCCGCGTCACAGTAGGTATGTTGCCAGCCAGAGGACGACACGTGGCTCGGGCACGTCGTCTGCTGAGACATGTCGCAGTGCTCCACAGAGCACAAGAATGATGCGGAAACTCAAGAGAAGAAAATCCACATCTTCGTGCTACTCTTTAAACGTATTATGCTCATATCCACTAGAGAAGTCTGCTTCATATTGGCCCTCTTCCTCACAGCTTATGGTGCATTTCAGTCTGGGTAAGAAAAATAGATTGCCATCAGGCCTATGTTTAACGTTAGGCCTCGGCCCAGGGTGGACTGAGGCATTTGATAGGCTTAACACAAGCATGACGTTATAGAGTGTACTAGATGGCATCTTTGAATGCTTAGGTTTATGTTGTACTTTTTGGATTGAGGCAGTGGGGTTTAGAGCTAATGCCTGACCTATAACATCAATTAAAAGCAACCAATCATCTTCATGCAGAACCGTTTTGGGGCTGTGGGACTGCCTCACCCATGAAAAGGCCTGAAGTAGGTCTACAAATCAAATATGAATTGAACTGAGATGTCTTTCGAGCATGCTTCTGTGCATGCATGTATGCTTCAATCCTGTCTTGATCCTCTAGAATGAGGAAGAAGGATGAATTGGTTTTGCTCAACCTTGATATAGGATGCAAAAATAGCAAGAAATGGCTCTTAATGTATTTTCCTGAATCTTGAATATGAATTTAACATGGTCTCATTAAAGTTATTTCCTGTTCATGTTATTGTCTAAGGGGAGGGTGGGGATGGGTGGCCACTGGCCTAGGCCCTCATTTATCCTAAAAGTCCCCTCTTACCCATTTTGTGGCCCTTGATCTTGCAACATCAAAGCCTATTTGCTCAAAACGTAGGTGAGGGAAAGTGACGTGGATAGGGTTCTAACCAATGACATCCAGGATTGATCTTGAGTCAAAGGCAATTGGACTTATAGATTTAGCTATCCAAAGAGGGGTAGATAATACAGTTACAGCATGTCATATGCATAGCCTTTCCTGCCTGAGGATAATGTTGTGCCTCTAATATGGATTCCCAATTTAGAAGTGCAAGCATGGGTGTATGAGGTAAATCTGAATGCAATTCAGAGGCAGGGGGTAGGACAAATTATTTGGCAAAGAGTTTGTTCTATTGTGTAGCCTGCTGCATTTTTTCAGCTGTTGTATGACCTAGACCCCTAGGCTTATGACTATATCGTTTCTTTGGGAAGTACAAAAGTTTTTCCTCTTCCTCAGTTCCTTGAGATCACAAGCTCCTGGTCTGCCAGAAACTTTCTTCTCACTGACTTCATTGGTGGAAGATTTTCCTTTTGGAAATCTCAGAGATGCTTTGGACAAAGCGTCAACATCAGAAATCTCACTTTTGATGTATTATGCTCCATGGGATGCTGAGTCTCAGGAGGTTCGACAGGAATTAGAAAATGTTGCAAGACATTTTTTTGACAAGGTAAGCTTATAAAGAAAAAAGGATGTCCTAAGTTATATCAATGGATATATTTTTTGTATATTCAAGCATGCCTGTTGAAATGGTGTAGGCCAACAGAATATTGAAAATGTGGCACTAAGGGTCAAGATAGGTAAGTCCTAATTAAAAGTCCTTTGGGATGACATTCAGGTAGGGCATTAGGGATGAGTTGTACTGTATATTTGGTAATGCCTGTGCCAATCAAATATCCTCAGCCATAAGCACTGCTTTGAGATTGTTTTATTGCTGAACCTCAAGCTTAAAATGTATAGACCTATGAAGTAAACTATTCTTGTCTTGTGCTATTCTCTTAGGAGGAATTGATGGAATATCATTAAAGGTTCAAAATTTTTGGCATGTTTTATGGAATGCTGCACAAATCTATCTCATCACAGGTGTTAGGAGGGTCTGAAGATAGGAGAAGGGAAAACAGTAGCATTGCTACTATCCTGCTTGTCTCAGCTCTATTCTGTCTGCTTTGTTGTACAGGCTGTTGCTTCATTCTACCTCATCATCCCACATAAAAATTCCATGTATGATAGAGTGTATGATTCTGTATGGCCATGTATGATCATATATTTGCCATATACCACCATATATGTATTTATATATTATCAATTGTATGGCATATAATATATATTATCTATATTACAATATCAAAAGTTATGGGCTAATGGCATCATGTCTGACATAGGAACCTTTTAGGATGTGGGTATGTTTCAGGCATTCTCACCATATATAAACATGTTTAACTTCATATGTATGGACAATATGTGACATGGCATACATGGTGCAATTGTATGAGCCAATATATAAAAATATATGGAGCCATATATATTCATTCTTATATGATTTTATGTGACTTATGTCAAACCCCATATATGTTTCATATATGTTCATATAGGAATTGCACTATATGTTCATATATGCTCATATATGTTAGACTGGCTAAAAATATGATCATTTCATATATGGTCTTTGTGAAATTTTCACGTGGGATGGGAAAATCGTGTGATATGGCTGTTGTCCATTCCTTCCAAATGTATATCATATACTGGGTGGCCCAAAAAAAAGGTCCTGAACTTTGTGAGTCTGGAGATTGGACAACATGCTTTGCATCATCTTGAAATTTTCAGTTTGTCATAGCCAATTTATGTCTGTGGTTTATGAAAATTTAAATGAAATTCCTTGCTCTTAACATGAGTAAGTGCTCTTTCTGTATAGAGTTGTCAAATGAGCAAGTGTCAGTGTGTTTGCCGGCATGCTGCCTTGGCAGGCGATCAAAGGAGGACACATCCATGAAGGACCCATACAAAGTTTATTTCATTGAGGTCACATGTGTTTCTTTGCACAGTTGCTCTTTGGACATCACATGGGAGAGAATTTATTACTCATGCTAACTGCCAATTTCAATGAAATTTTTGTTACATTACCTGCAAACATTGCATGTAAAAGCATGTAAATTTCCTGTTGATAACTCATTTGGTACACCGTCTGCAGGTGTGTAAAGTTCAGGACATTTTTTTGGGCCACCTGGTATATTCAGTCATAATGAAACACATAGTTTTTCCCTGTATGGTTCAGCTTAACCCACTACTTGACCTCACCTTTCTTCCCACTTCCTCTATCATTCAAGAGTGCTGGAGGCCTTCAAATAAAATTTCCAAGGCATGCATACCTAGCTTTGCCTTCTTCTACACAGGTCCTGGTGATAGGGATCAACTGCTGGTATCCTAAGGGAAGCTGTCGCAAGAGGTTTTCCAAGATACCTCACTACCCGGTTTTGGTTCTTTACCGACGAAGCAGTTCTGGCATTGTCTATAAGGGTGTGAAGACAGCACCTTACATTATACGTTTCCTGAATGAAGCTTTCAAGCCTTTGCTCCAACTTCATATGCCATCTTATCTTCAGGACCTATTATTCCTCCATGATGTGAGTTTGGTCTCTGTAGTATAGACTTCTTTTCACAATCAATTCCATGGGTGTTCATGAAGTCCATGAAAATAAAGTGGACCTAAGTAATTGAACAAATTGCCATGCTATCAATGTGTGGGATGTTTGTCTCTATACAAGTGGTCAAGGAGATAGAATAGCTGCTCAATACCCTCAACTCCAAAAAATTCCAAAAAGCCATCTTTTGTTATCTTGCCTGTCTTTGTCCTTTTTAGTTAACCCTTTTAGTGCCACAGGAACTGCATGGTGTTTACAAAAAAACTGCCAATTCATTATTCTATGGGAATGATTGTACATTTCATCCGATTGGTCAAATATTTCATATTTATGACCATCTATGGGCAATAATGGTCAATGAGCCCCACAAAAGAGGTTAGGCCTTATGACTGTATATTATCAAAAATGACCATGTTGACCTGTCAACATCTCATTGCTAAGATAGACTTCACCATATAGATTGCATGGGTTGGAACATTAAACAGTTATCAGTCATGTTTCAGAGATAAATTCTGTGCCTAGTTAATCCTATTTCCTCCTATTTCACAGTTGACATCGGTTTTTAGATCAAACCCTTATGAGTAAAATAAGAAAATTTGCCCACAATGCCAAAATGGGCTTCTCTATCAGGAGGAATGACAGGATGAGAGCTTAGATGAATCTGCAGCTTCTGAATGAGTGGAGTAAAAAAATGTCTTATGAAGTTTAGTAAGAGTAAATGTATGATTTATCACCTTGGTCATAATAACAATAGTTCTCCTAGGGCATTTTAGAGGAGAGGAGGAGGTTAGAGGTACACAACAGAGGCTAGAGTACAATTAGAGGAGGCAAAGATAGAGAGTGACTTAAGTATAACAATTCAAGAGTTACTCAAGTTCAGATGACAGTGGCCAAAGGTTTGTGGGGAAATACAACTGGAGCCAGAGATAAAAGTCTATATTTTTTATCTTTGGATCCTGTGTTAGGGGGTATTCTTGATTTTCATCCCTCCCTCATCATATCATGATTTTTCATATCTCACTTTCTTTTCCAGTCTGTGATATATGGATACTTTGACTTCTCTTCATGGGAGAGAGTTGAGCCTTCTCGATTGTATAGAGTGTTCCATGAAGCATCTCTTCAAGCTCTCTCTGAGGACCCATATCGTGAAATTGCATTTGCTGTCATTAGTGATGGAAAGGTGGCAGAGGCATTGAATGTCTCTCTTCATGAAATTCATCTTCGCATGTGGAATCAGACATTAGTGAGTTCAGACCTTCACTTCAGTAATGCACTGAGAAGAGTTCCTTGATGTGATTGTGCAGCACTTTTATAGTTTTTGAGCTTTTGGTAATATTTCTGGGGAATGTAATTTATTTTAACTGCTTATTGCTCTTGAACATTTTCTCAATTTGTTTTCCTCAGTAGCTTCATACTATTCTTTTGATATCTCATCATAAAGGTTTTTAAGATTGGAGATTTGGGATGAAGTGATAAGAGTTATTGGTATTGAGATAGATACAAGGAAGGACACTTCAATGTCTGAATGTCTTTCTTGTAAATTCACAGTGGGAATCATGTCCCACATTTTCTTTTAGGTGCATCCAGTTAATGAAAGCCTGACAGTTTCATCCTTGCTGAAATGGATTCGTGAGAGGAATCAACAAGTGATTGAATGGATCACTCCTCTAGGAAGAAAGAGTGACCAGCTGAGTTTTTTTCTGCAAGAGCGGCCTACCCTCATTCTCTTCACTCCACGCAATCCTCTCCTTCCCTCAAATCCAGACTATGACTTAGTGGGTTCTTCCTCATTAATCACCTGCATCCTCAACTGCAGTTTAGTAGAATTGTTCCTCTGTGCATGCTGAAGAATTGCTCTTCCTATTAGATTTTTCAGATGTCAGAAAACTGTTGTGATTATAAATTATTTAATATGTAGCTATTCTATAGCAGTACCCACCTCATGTCCTGTATGAAATACATCTGAATAGTTTTCAACTTTGGCTTATTCTAGGTCAGGCAGATGGGAGCTTTGTATGCTGATTGCCATGGCACAGAAAGTGTGAAGTATTTCATAGAAGGGCTGGGTCACCACAGGGAAGAAAGCAAAAGAAGATACAGCCATCTTGCTGCAGAATGTGAGGAGTGGCTTGAGAAGAAGTTAGAGCTGCATTTCAAGAATACTCCTCCACAGAAGGAGCAGGGGGAGTGCCAGATGTCTTCTCAGGAGTGCTGCCAATGTGCTGTTGCTGGCCTATATCCTGAGAACATGTGTCATGTTTGTACTAGGTTTGTTCTGTTCAATCACTGGTCTTTTTTGATACGTTTCATTTTCATTGCATAGATTTGTTGTTCTATTAGGGGAGGATGTCACAAGTTGGGTGGAGAGAACTTGCTCTCTTCAGTGAATCAGCTGAAGCATTTGGATAGGACATGTCAGGAAATCTGGCTTTCATCCAGTCCTTTTGAATCTGTATCTGTATGCTGCACCCATAACCTCTCCTTCCCCATCTCCCTTGGACTTCCAACACCTTGGTCTTTGGTGAAATCAAAGATGGAAACCCAGGCTCAAGCTGTTGCTTCACAGCATGATGATTGTATTGGTGCCATGATGCAGGAGAGACTTGCTTCTCAATGCCGTACCTTCCTACTGGCCAAGAGCTATTTTCCCATCCCAGATTTCATTGATGATGAGACAGGTCCCAGCAAGCATGCAGGCAATGCAGATATTCATGGGCTGGGTTGTGGGAATAAGTCCTTGGCATTCATTGCTGTTGACAGCATCTTATTCCCAGAGTTCTCAGAGCGATTGGAAGTAGGAATCAATAACAAGTCTCTTGTTGGGGAAACAAGAGTTGTCATCATTGATAATACTGTGAGTGATAAAATATCTCTAGCCTTTATTATTTTCTCATATAACTTGTGTTTGGAAAGCAACAAACTGGCTTTACTTTTGAATAATCTGAATTATCACAAATTTCTTTACAAAAGCTGTTGACTTAAACTTAGACTTGATGCATCCATCCCATGAGCTATCATGACAAATCAGTAAGCTGAGTCTTTGATGTTGTAGTTTATAGTATCCTTCATGACATTGGTGACTTTTAAATCCAACCTGGAAACAGATTTCACATGAATATTAAGAAAAAAGAAAGAAGGCACTTACCTGTGTATTTTTCCTACACTAGTCCTTTGCAATGCAAGACAATGATTCATAATATATATACAAAGGAGTATGTGTGGTAAATTCTTTCAGTCTACAAGTAGGTTGAATGTTTCCTAGATGAATGAGAGAGTCTTGATCATTGCTCAGGTTGGCCCAGTTCAGCCATTACTTCATTATCCCAACCTATTGTGATTGAATTTATTCATGTAACACATTGGAGGACACCTGGATTTTGGCTGGATCTCTCAGAAACATACTGTTACATTTCATGTAGGCTCAATGATGACAGCATTCCAAGTCAAGTCATTTACATCCCATGTGTTCCCACTAATTTAGTACTATCAGATGTGCGGACGATTAAAGCCGTCTTGTTCTATAGATGGCTCACAAGGATGACGGTTATAGCTGTACTGTTTGCCCATGTTAGGATTACCTCAAGAACTTGATTGCAATATATCTGAATATGAATAGTTTGAAAGGTACCTTTGCTGCTAAATCACCAGCATTCTTCATTTTCTGTGTAATGTCATAGAAGGCTTCCCTTGTAGACTTAGAGAAGTCCATTAGAAGCAATAATTTTATATTTTTTCAATTTCTTGACAACAGCATTTGATGAAACTTGATTCTATATTCTGTTCCTTTATTTTCATTCAAGACTCCATGTCTCTTCAGAAAATAGGAATACTGAACAGATTAAGTGGAAGAGTCTAAAACCTAAATAAGACCTTGGATCGGTTCTTAATTCAAAGATAATGGAAGCTATGGATTTCCCATAGAAAGCAATGCAGCCCTTCTTTTTTTTATTTTTAACCCTTTAAGTGCTGAATTCTCTCCCATGTAACTGCTCTCCCTGTGCTGAATACTTTGTGGGAACACACAGCTTACAGAATCAAATGAGACTAAGCAACTATTACTAAATTAAACTGTGCTCCTATTTTTTTAATTGAAATTACCTTGCATTCAGAGGATGTATCTGTGAAACTTTCTAGCATGGTACACATTCACATTTGTTTTGAAAATGGTTGGTTGTATATATGGATCATCACACTAAAAGGGTTAAACATTCCATGTATGGGATATATTAATATGACTTGATTTAGCAAAAGAAATTAATAAAATTCAGTTGGTAACTTCCATATAATTCATTAAGGCACTCATGATTTCTGGAACAGATTGGAAAAACAAAATCCAGCAAAAGAAACAGAACTTTTCAGTTATGAATGCATTAGATGTTTAAATAGGTAAACTTTTGTATTACTTATTTTTATGGGAAGGAAGAAGTATATTACTGAAAAAATGCATGATGTCAAATTTCTATGAAAGTTTATACTTTCCTTAACACTTCCTGGTGACAATTTCTGGACACTACATGCTGTAGCAGACAACTGTTTTTCATACATTTTATGAAATTTCTATGAATTCATTCAATAGTAGAAATTAAGGCATTTTTTTTTGTAAATTTAAGCTTTCTGTACCAGCTGGTAAAGCATTTATAGCAATGAATAGAATAGAAATGAATAGAAGACAATAGAAAAGTTGGATGGCTATGCATCTGGTAAAAGATAGACAACCATCCATGAGTCAAATTTGCAATTGGCTTTATTTTTTTGCTAGATTTCTCATTACAATTCTGTGTAAAGCAGGAATTCAGAATGAGTCCATGTCTTGCTAGTGAGGGTATTAATTTCTCCAAATGCCCTCTTCCTCACTTTGTATGCTAGGAATTTGGAAGTGGAACATATTAATTGTCATACCAGGTGATTTCCTTTCTGCTTTCTTAGGCAGAGTGTCATTTCTCAATGGGAGGAGATCTCACCAAAGAGTCCTTAAAGGCTTTCATATACAACTACACTCATGGGAAGTTGAGTCGACCTCTGAAGAGCCATGGACCACATATACATCATTTATGTCCTGAAACTTCATCTAGTCTCTGTGTCACTGAGTTGACCAGTGAAACATTCCATGAAATAGCCATGGATCCTGAAAAAGTAGGTTGCTTCGAATTCTGAATTCTTTTCTTAGTTCCTGTTGTACCCCTATTGAATGTGGAGTTGCATAATAATTTTCAAGCTATTTGCAGTCATGTGTAATCCTTGATAAGTCTAATAGTGAACTATTAGGGCTGTTAGGTGTTAGGGCTGAACCAATCATGTGATTATAAACTGCATAAATTATTTGGCCATCTGATACTGGATTGAAGTGGATTCACAACATTCAATTTGATAAATTTATCAAATGGACCTGCTTTTTAGAGGTTTTTAAACTTTTTTATTCCAACATGGCGGCTCCCTATACCTATAGCTGTTCCAAAAATTTTAAGAATGAGTCTGATCTCAAAACTGTTTTCTGAGAATTCCAGAATAATTTTTAAAGTCCAATTATTTATTCCTCTTAGATTCCAGAGCAGATCAATAACCTCTAATTGATTAAAGGTCAATTTGCCATGTTTCAGAAGGAATCAACGCTTATTCCTAATTGACTCAACCAAGCAGAAACCATGAAGGGGAGAATGAGGCAGGTCACAAGGAAATATGTTTCACCACAAGATGCTTCTAGGCAGCCTGCACACTAAATACTGAGTGTAGTAATGAAAGACCGACAACTTTGGCTTTGCTGTATTTGATGAATATATCAATCAAATCTCACCAAATGTGGTGAGAATGGACTTTTCTGTTTTTAAATGTTGGTCTTAAATCTTTGAATCTTCATGTCAAAGTTATAGCCAATATTCTGTGAAATGTTGAATATATAAATGGACAATTCCTCTTAGTTCTTCTTTGGAGATGTTTATGCACTGTGGTGTTTGGAATACTGCAGCATTTGCAATAGCTAATTCCCTTGTGTTCTTAGCCATCTTCGTGCCATGCCAAAAATGTATTTCTTTGAGACTTAATTTTTCTCTTCTCTTGTTCTGCAATGTCTGTTTTCAATCTAAACTTTCTAAAAATTTAGTTCATAAGAAGCATAAGAATTTTTGTCCATCTTAAATTTCATACTTGTCACAGAATATTTTGTATGACTTTGATTTGAATAAGTGGATTATAACAAAAATCTTAAAAGTTGAATTAAAGAAGGCAAATTACATTTCCTCAAATTTTGGCTTAATATAATCAATGTGGTACTGAGATACAGTAACTCAAAGTTGTTAGTCTTTCTTGCTATACCCTGTAAATGTGTCACAGACAATTCTGAAATGTTGGAGGCATGTTAGTTGTGTGTTGCATACATTGTTTTCAATGGAGTAGTGCTTCATGCTGACAATGAAAACTTTGGAAAACCAAGTAGATGACACTATGCCACATTTGAGTTTTTTAAATTACATATTGTAAACTTCAGAGCAGTATTATTCCTGAAAAAAAATTTTTTTAAATGCCACATTTGGGCACATGCACTTGGGCTTCCAGTCATAAGAAGCCTCATATCTCTCACAAAAAGCTCACCCCAAGACTAGACCCCAGTTTCTTTTCCTTGAAATTCTCCTTTCATGTCATCAAAAACATTTTGCATCCCTGCAACCATTGTAGAAAGTAGCGAAGTCTTTTCTGTTGAAATATCCCTGAATTCCCTCCCTGGATCAGAGGATTGAAGTTCCTTTTTTGAACCTTTGAGGTCCCTACCTTCTGTGTGGTTACATTTTGGACTTGAAATTTTTAAACTATTGTGCTGTAATTTGTGTTTTCACTTTTATAGGCTGTGATAGTCTTCTATTATACACCTTGGTGTGGATTCTGCACATCTGCATCATACGTATATTTGGAAGTGAAGAAGTTGGTAGGAGATGTAGTTCCATGGTTGCACTTCACTCGTATTGACAGTCAGAGCAATCCCCTACCATGGCATTTTACCATGGAATCATTCCCTACCATCCTGTTTCTCCCTCGATACAGGTCAGCAATGTCATGCATTCATTTTCTCATTTTCTATGTCCTCATCCAACGTATAAAGAGTGAAATCCTTTACAGGAAGGACAATAGTCGGGTGTTTCCCCCTGACCAACCGCTCACTGTTTCCAATCTTCTTCACTTCATCCTCTCCAATGTGGGGAATGAAGTGCATTCTACTCTTGCATTGAGGCAGTGTGCCTCTGATGACACATCCTGCAGGTCAAGATCTGTACTGCTGATTCGTGATAGAATTCAGTCTTTGCTGGCTCTGTTTCGGCTTCTATCTAAAAGACTGCAACACCCTTCTTCATTTTCAAGTGCCCATTTGAAAGAGGAGCAGCAGAAGATATTTGACACTCTTGTTCACTTGCATCACATGCTCTGGGCCTTTGAAGTGCCATTCAGTGATCCTCCTTGACATGCATGCCCAAAGAGAAGCTTATTTATGGGAATTCTTTCTTTAATATATTTTGGGATGCATTTTCAATGCACGGTAATATTAGGTTTTCATTCTCTTGACTGAAAAGGGTTGAACGGTGCATTAATTTGGTGCAGTCATGAATATCTCCTTGTCAAGTTGTCATTTGAGCATATTTACAGGGTGGAGCAGAAGGGAACAGGTTTCATTACTAATAACTCAGTAGCTATTTGACATTGAGATATGAGATGACCACCAGAATGAAAATTTATTTGATTCTATTTTCAGGTGTGTAATTAAACATTGACCAGGATGGCTGCCAGGCATTATTTACAAGATTGACTGTTGTGTGTCCATCTTTATCATAAGACAAACAATGCTGGTGAAGTTTCAACAGCCAAGCTAAGCAGCTGCAAGGGTGTTTGGAAATTGATGGCCAACAAGTATTTGTAAATAACCATGTGAAAATGACGCTTTAATTTGTTAGATTTAATACTAATGGCAGTCTCATATTTTTTAAAATGTGAAATGCATACAGTTATTCATATATAAAGTTGTTCCTCAACTTCTGCTCCACCATTTATAGCAGCTGGGTATTGAAAGAGTTCTGGAGATGAAGGATATACAGTACTTCTTCATTGATCACATTAACCTCTTCGGTAGTATGCCTGAGAAATTCTTGGACTTCACTCATAGCGTGTCAGAAAAGCTGCAAGGGGTTAAATCAGCTGTTATCAAACATTTTCATCCCTAGACTAGAATTAAGTTACGTTAAACTTGGGCTAAAAAAGAAAAAGTGCTGTTGTGCTTAGGTGCAAGATGATTCATTGACGAAGAATGGAGACCCTTCCCATTGATGTTATAACAGACCTACTCAATGCGTGGCCTGCGAAACGTCGCTGGGTAGCCTGCCAGTGGCTATATGAGTTATAAAAATAAACTGCCTGTGATCGATTCCCCGCATAAGAATCCCCGACCGTCAATTCCTCTAACGATTGATTCCTCCGGCGGTATGTGTCCTGCCTGTCGAATTCTCCCACTATTCACTTCAATGGTAAAAAAAAAAAAAAATTCTCGACCGTCTTGATATATGCAGGAAAACATTCTCCTTCGTCCATTTTTGAGACTTTCTCGGATCACCGTCGGTCCGTGCAATCCTTATCGGACTGAGACGTGAAGTGGGTCCAAGACAGAGATTTTGCAATTACGGGAAGGAAACAAAAGTTAAAATGCGAGGTATAGTCGCCTCTGCAAACTGGAATACTAACGTAGACCAGTGAACTTTATTCTATTATTCAGAGTATTCCAATAACCGAAACTTATTGAACTTCTCCCAATTCATCAGTTTTTTATTATTTATTTATTGATACAGTACAGAACCTGCAAAAGCACTTAAAACAGCACATAGCACTTATAAGAAATGTGTGATCTGCTTCATCTTGGCAGCCAGCACATGACTGAATATAGCTCTCCAGCTGAAATAAGTTTTCAAGGGCACGCCCGTGGAGTCGATGGAGAAGATTTAGAGCTTCACTGCCTGATGGAGGGGCTTCCGTTTTCACGCCATCCTCCGAATGATTGCCATTTTCTCCATCCGATTGACCTGGATCTTGCCGTACCATCTGGAGAAGTTCAGTATCAATGAACACAGCATCACTCGACACAAACGTCCACATTCTTATCGCACTCGACATACAGCCGAAATTCTTGAGTCACCCCAAAGGGTGGCTTCTCGTCGGTCACTTGCGTTGTTTCTGACAGTTCAGGTCCCTCTTCAGCCGGTTCATCAGCAGTAGCTGGAAACTTGCACTGCTTGAAGCAGTTGACCACACTTGTTGGCTTTACTTGATCCCATGCACATGTGAATTGCATCAAGCAAACTGACAGATTTTGCCTTGTCCTTTGCAGACAGGGTTTTATCTTCCTCAAGGCTGCTCAAGATCTGCAGGATCTTCCTACGGTAGTGGCACTTGAAATTCTTGACGCCTGCATCCATAGGTTGAATAACGAGGTTGTGTTGGTGGGCAGAAATTCAATATTGATGTTGCTCAGCTTGAGGCTTGCAGCGCTCCCGCGACAGGTGGCATTATCCATGAATCGGATGATCTTTTTCTTCATTGCTTTAACTAGGTCTAAGATCCATTTATCAAAGACCTGCCGGGTCATCCAGGTATTCTTGTTTGCTTCATACGGCACCGAAAAGTTCTTGAGATGCTAGAAGCACCGAGGATTCTTGCTATTGTCAATAATCAGCGGTGCAACATGGTCATTTCCTGTCTGATTGGCAGAAAAGGAGTACGGTTATCCTCTCTTATTATTTTCTTACCGCCACGAAAACACACTCCGCTTGGCTAAGGTGCCGTCGGGAAGTGCACGGAAAAACACACCAGTCTCATCACAGTTGTCCACCGAGTCAGGAGAGAAGTTTTTCACTAATCTTGGAAGCACGTCGATCACCCAGGACGTTGCCACTTCTGTATGAGCGTCTTTGGATTCCCCGTTTATCTTCTTAAAAACCAAGTTGTGCCGGATTTTTCACCTTGATAACCAGCCTTCAGAAGCAATGCAGTCGAGCATGGATTTCTCCTCTGCCAATATCAGTACCTTTTCTCACAGGAGAGCTCTTTCTTTCTGGTAGTTCTTTCAATCGCATCTGCTCAAACCACAGCCACAACGATTGGTCAACATCTGCCTTGCTTTCCCGTTTCTGCTTCCTCTCTGGTTTCCGTTCTTCTTGTACTCCACCTCCAATGCTTCCTTATTTTGATGATCTTTGAAACTTGCGGCTGAGAGATCCCAAACTGCCGAGCGAATTCAGTTTGCGTCTTCTTTTCGTCTTGATGGGAATTCAGAACTGCAATCTTTTCGTCCAAGCTGAGGTCCTTCCTTCTCCACATGGTCAATTCGGAATGAATACTGTAGATCTGTTGGCTGCAGTCTCAATTTATTCCTCCACATCTACAGCCTATATTTACACCCCAATTTCCAGGAAAGGGTGATTCCACGAAGCGAGAGGGTGGGACTGGGGAGAGGGCCAGTGGGGATTTTCCAAGAATGCACAGTAGGAAAAATAAGCCATTTGTTTTCAAAAGATGGAAAAAATAATAATTTTACGATCCAGAAAAGTTTCATTTCTTTAAGCGAGTTATTCTATTAACTCATTTATGCTATTTTTTACCCCTTTATGCTATTTTTTCATAATGCGTCCTATGGACGAAAAATCGGGACCATGCAATGGTATTCCATTATGCGGAGTCGACTGTATATCCCTGGGTTACTGCTTACAGTACATGACACAAAGTCCGTTTGAGATGTCAAAACAGAAAATCACATGCCGCCCTGACCTCTCTGAAATGAGATTCTTTTCTTTTCACTAACTCCTAATTCTCGCGTTCACCCTACATTGGCTAACCAAGTAATGATCTGCTTCCTGAGTCATCTGACTTTCCAGACTAATTCCCGTTTAGATATTGTTTAACATCATGGCGACTAACTCATTTGAGAGAATTATCCTTCAACCATTTCTGTTTTCTATTTTTTGTTTTCTTCTGCTAGGTGAGAACCTTAAGGAAAGATCTGACATGGCGATGCAGTATTTGGTGTGGATTGATTGTAACACTGTTGATGGTTTTTAACATATTGAATCAACGTTGATACAACGCGGCGGCCGTCACCGTTTATAGCACCCACATTGACATTGATTCGATGATGGATTCACGGTGGAAGTTTCAACATTAAATCAGCCTCGAATCAATGGATTCTTTTGCAGTACAAAATTCCTTGTTTTATGTCAACCGTTAGGATTTTTTGTGTACTCCAGGGTTCGTTGAATAGTTTAGCCAATCGCCCAGAACACATTTCGATCAAGAAAAATGCTAGATTTAGGGCAGATAAGAAGGTGGTTGAAATGACGCCTGACGTCTATCGCAGCAAACAAAAAGAAAAAAAAGAAAATTTCTCGCTAGCATCTAACATGGTGATGTCTCAATACAAACGTAAAATTAGAAAAAGGAGATTATTGAATCATTTATTTTTTTACAAGGTAATTTATCGATTGACTTGAAGACATGTTCCAATCTAGGCATTTTCATTACTAATGAAAGAAAGTGTATTACTGAGGCTGGATCGGTGTGACCCCCAACCCTGAACTTCAAGCCTTAGTTTCCTAGGGGTGGGGCACCTGAACGATGGAGTTTAGTGGCCCTGTGACTGATCCCAAGGGTCACCTAGGGCCACCTGGGTGATATTTCGGCAAAAAAAGTTTATTTGCTATTATCAAGTATCATCAAGTATTATCAAGGGTATCAAGTAGGGTGGTCCAAATTTATTTATTTATAATTATGTCTAAGTCTTACCCTCTCAATCTTCATATCCCAAAATAAAATTCCACAAAAAGTTTCAGCTCAATCTTTTGATATTTAGAGGTAGCTCAACGAACTTCAAGTTTCAGGACAATCGCTTTCATGGTAGACACGATATTTAGAGCTGAACATTGCATCTATATATTTTTTGGGTGATGCAACATACTTCAACCCATCCGCATCAGAGGACGTACTGGTATGCATCTTCTCATGTCCTTCCGCTTAGCCTATGGCCTAGAAAGAGAAAGAGACTTGTAGGCCTCACGCATCAAGCCAATGTAGGATTCTTCGTCAGATTGACCGGAAATTCACTTGATAAAAGTCAGTGAATGTAGCTCATCTTTACTTATATTTATTATCTGATTGGAAAGAAAGTTCTCGGAATTTCTTGAATATCCAGTACAATTTTTTTCCAGAGCATGCTAGAATGTTCTGCGTGTGTTTATAAGTAGGTCGTGTCCTTCGGCATACAACCGTATATTATTACAGCCCTGGTGCTCTCCAGCCATGAACCAGCCCTACCCTCTTACTAAGGAGCAAGTTCGCCTGCTTCTTCTTTATGACTTCNAAACCCAAATGGTCCGACGATGCCTCTCAAGATCAGACGGCGACGGTTTCCAAGCCCTGTCACTTCAGCCATGACTATCAAGAAGTGCCAAGGACAAACATTTAAACGAAGGATTGTGCCTTCCTGTACCTGTATTTTTCCATGATATTTAGCTTTTTGTATAGTCCTCAAGCTATCTCCTAGAGACGTTCCACTGACGCTTAATCTACTGCATGCAAAGTTGTGAACTCATCGGTTCTTGTTCTATCCTCATTCGAGGAGAAACGGGAATTGCTTATCTCTTGACTCGACAAGTGGGAGGCGATTGCTTGAAAACCTCTCAAAATCTTGCCTCTTCAAGAGTACTGATTATCCCGAAGTAACCGCGAAGATAATGTGTACAAACGGTACCTGCCTCGCGAGGGTGAGGTGGAGGAAAATGCCGTGTTTCTGTTGCCCATTTTTTAAGGAAGCGAAGATAGCTCATAGTTATACGTCTCACTATTCGTGAGCCGAGTACGGGTGGGTTGTTGAAATGGTGACCTTAGACATTGACCAAGCTTGAGG